TGTTTCTAAGGGAAGGGTTTGGTCCCTGGTTGGATCAGCCCCTGCTCAGGTACAGTGTTTCCATGCTGGATCATGCTGCATCACATGAGCATCTCCCCCCCAGGGCGGCATCGCCACTCGCTGATGGACAAGCACAGAGTCCTGTTATGGTGCTGGGCTGTTGGAGGTGTTGATCTGCTAACTGCTACAAGCAGGAGGGTTTGTCTTGCAATAGAGGCACCAGGCCCATCGCTGTCTGAAGCAAAGGAATAAATCTCAGCCAGCCAAAGGCTTGGGAACAGAGCCACAGGCTTCTCACACATGCAGTGACACGGCAGGCCCTTGCATAGCAGGGCTCACCTGTGACAGCAGTGCAGGATTTATCCTCAGTTCCCAGACACAGAATTACTGTTGTTCCTCCCCTTCCCCCCCACCGGTCTGTGCTGCTACCACAGCCAGGCAGATTTCCCCCACTTCTGTTCCCCACGAAGCAGTCTTTTGCACAGAGTTCAGTGTGTTACTGCACTCCCTGGGAAGAGGTTTTGGGGCCCTGAGCAGGCTGCAGGCAGGGGCAGCAGCAGCACACGTGGAGGCTGCTGTCCCCAAAAGCTCCCTTTGGTGTTGTGAAGTCGGTCCTGTCTGTCCTCCCCCTGCTCCCTTAAGGTTTGTGTTACAGTAACAACACTCAATGCATGGCCCTGACCCCTAACCAGAAATTGTTTTAAAGAGGATTTAACTATGCTCCAAAATACAGCTATAAAACGACTCTCCTTGCTTGTTTCTTTTTCTTTTCTAAGGCAACGTTAATCTGTTTTGTACAACGGGCTCCTTTGCTCAGGAAGGGTCTCCATTTAAGGCATTTCTTTTAATACAGGAGCTGATTTCCTGTGTATCTCAACATCAGGTGCTGCACAGCCCACATCAGGCACTTGGTCTTTATCCTCCAAATAAAGGCCACCTTCTGCTGTTCACACCTCTGCAAAGCCTCCTGTAGCACCTTCACCTTGCACGCACCCTGGCTGCAATTGAGAAGCACTATTTCTTTTAACCACCTCTCTTCAATTCACCGTGGCTCACAAACTTTGCTCGAAACAACTCTTAAATGCAGCTTTCAACCCATTTTAAATGAAAACCAGGTTTCAGAGGCCTTCAGGTAGCACACAGGAGGTGATTCACAACCCCAGCCTGACCTCAGAGCAGGGGCTGTCACTCATACGGTCCTTAACTTCCTTACCTCCTGCTTTCTGGTTCTTCTTGTCCCTCGCTTCCTTTGAGGTGTCCCTCTACTGGGACAGCAGCTGCACCAGGAACAGACAAGGAGAAAACATCACCAGCCCCTCCCTTTTAATTGCTGCCTGTTAATTGGATGCCCAGCCCGTGCAGCACAGGTGACAAGGATGGGGCCCTGCTGCTACAACAGAGGAGCTCAGGGCTGAAACTGCGGTTGGGAGAACAAATGAAGTGGGATGGAAGGAGGGTTGGGTCCGGTGCTGAGGACCCGTGCACGGCCCTGGCGTTCTCCTATCTGGCCAGGAAGCAAACTTGTGTTTAAATATTGACTCTCCAGCACAGAAAATGGGATGGGTGGAGTTTGCAACCGCCCTGTGCCTGCAGTTTATCGTTCCCCAGTGGAAAGCGGAGATCATCGGGACTTTGGCCTCATCTGCTCCCAGCTGCCGAGGGGACAAAGGAGACAGAGATTGAAGCTGGGAGAGGGAAACTCAGGTCGAGGCAGCCCTGAGCCCCCCTGGGGCCCTTTTCCCCTGCAGAGCTCTGCTGCTAAAAGCCCTTCAGCTAAGACAAAGACCTGAGCACACCTTTCCCGGTGCTGTCACTGCAGTGTTAGGCTTACGGGCAGCGAGGCAATGCCCTGCAGCAGTGCTGCCCTCTGAGTCTCTTTGTGCAGCTCTCCTGCAGCAGGGAGCTCCATAGAGGCAAATAGTTCCTTAATAATAAAAATAACCCCTGGAGAGGCGACTGGTGCAGCCCAGTCCTGCTGGGAAGGGTTCAGGGTGGGGAATTGGGACTGGGGCACGGTGATCACAGAGCTGTCCCCTCTCACGGCAGGCAGGAGTGAGGTGGGAGGTGATGGAGAGCATCGAGCGGGACCTGCTGGGGGCACAGAGCGAGAGGCAGAGGGAGGGATCAGAGGGAAATCCAGCCGGAGATGAGGACGAGAGGCAGCGATGGGTGCAGCCTCTCTCCATGCAGCCGCGTGTCCCCACGCACAGCCGCAGTCTGCGGGCAGCTCCGAGGAGGTGTCGAGCAGCATTTCACACCCCCTGCTTTGCACAGAGCCATTCGGAGGAAACTCTGCCCGCGCCCCCCGCCGACCGCCGCGGCCTTAACTACCCCCTCCCATCCAGCAGCACGGGGCCCCGCAGCCTTGCTTCCTCCCTGCGACGAGACCCCGTCGGGCCTTCCTCCCACCCTGCTCGCATGGCCCCCCCGCCCCGGGGGGAGGAGAGAGCCGAGGCCACGACATTAAGTCTCCCCGGTTCGCAGCGCAGCTCCTCTCCCCACAGCACAGCCCCACACGGGGCCACGGCATCGCCGTCCTCACGGCCGCTCACCCCGCTGCCGTCCCTCCCGGCCGCCCGCTGGCAGCCCCACGCTGTCCCTTGATTAAAACATCCCTAATTCTCTAATCTGGGCGAATTGAGTTTCTTCCTTAAAAGCCGCCTGCGCTCTCCGATCCCGGCAGCGCGGTTCTTGTCACTCTGCCAAAGGAGGTTGGGAGCAGCGTCACATGCAGCAAAGTTTTACAAGCCGAGAGAGAGCCGGCTCGGGAGAGGAACGGCAGCGAGACGGACGCAGGGACACGCTGAGCGCAGAACCTCCTCCGGGTTCCCTCCGGCTTGACCTGAATGTTTATTTTTTTCCTTCTTCTTTTTTTTTTTTTCCTTTTTAATTGTTTGGAAGAACAAAGACTTCGGGCCGGGGTTGGTGTTTGTTTTGCAGGGCCGCTGCTGGGGAGGGGGGATGGATGGATGGATGGATGGATGGAGGCCGGAGCCGTCGGCTCGAAGCCCCCGCGTCGCCCTGGCCGCGTTGCCGAGACCTCGCCTTGCAACTTGGAAGGAGGAAAGACGGGGGGAAAAGGAAAAAATAGAAAAGATATATAAAAAAATAAAATATGATGACGTCACTTCGAGCTGGGGTGCCTTCCCCGCTGCCTGTCAGATGTGCCTGAAAAGAACAGGGCAATAAAACAACAGCCGCCTCTGTCTCCCTCGTTAAACACGGCGCTAATTGGATGTTAATTTCTCCTTGCTCTTCTCGCTGCTCGATTGTGAGGACTCTGCCTCGCTCTCCCTCTCGCTCTTTCTTTCTTTCCTGTTGCGATGCTCTTGGCAGCTCGGAGGGACTCCGGACTGCGGACTGGAATCATTCAGGAGCACCGCATGGATGAGGCGTGGGGTTCCGAAATGGGGCAGGAGAGATGGATCCCGAGAGCTGTGCAAATCTCCTGTCCCCCATGCATTGTCTTGCTGGCTTGGAGCTGTTCTCTTCCCATTTTTCTTCCTTTCGTGTTGGGTCCAGCAAAAAAAAAAAAAAAAAATTATAGAGATATATATATATACAGTCAAAAAAAAAAAGAAAAAAAAAGAAAGCATGATTCAATGACGACAAACCCCCAAACCTCCTCCCAGCTCCCCCCGTCTCGCCGCACACCGCGTGGAAACAGGCGTTGGAGGGAGCCGGAGCAGGAAGTTGTTGTTCTCGGTGTTGCCCAGGTCATCCTTCACGGGTACGTGTGCAAGAGCGGCAACGCGTGGGGCAGCCCCATGGGCAACAGCGTGGGGCAACGCCGGGCCTGGGGGCAGAGCCGGGTGGGGAGAGGAGGGAGGGAGCAGCGGCGGCGGCGGCGGCTGCTGGGGGGAGCCATGTGGGAGTCGAGTCCTACCTGGGAGCCGTGCCAACTTCCTGCAAAGGGTTACAGCCCCGCGGCTCCCAGAGCCCACCAGAGGCGAGTTGGCTCTTGTCACGCATCCAAGGCGAGAGGAAGACAGCGGGAACGGAGCAGGTACCGCCGACGCCGAGCGGCCTCGTTCGCCCCCCGAAGCTCGGCCGCTTGTTTTGATTTAAACCCGCCCAAAGGAAAGGCCCCGCACGAGGCCGACGGATGCCAAGGGTGGGGTGGACGGGGCCGGGGGTCCGCGTGCATGTGGGGAAAGGGGGGTGTGGGGAGAAGGGGGGGGGGGGGGGGGAGGATGCTGGCACCGCTCGCTCCTCGTCATTTGGATTAACATGCGGGAGATGCGCCTGTCACTTTGCTTACTGTCAGCGCCTGCTCGGGGATGGGTGACGGCTTTGTTTGGGGAGCCGTGCCAAGGCGGGCTTGGCAGCCGCTCCCCGGGAGGCTGCGGGGTGCACGGCCGCCCCTCGGCCCCTGGTGCGGGCGAGATGAAAACGTGTTTTGTTCCGTGCTCTTGGCATCTCCCCAGCAGCGCTCTCAGCCCCTCGGCCCCCCTCCTGAGCCCGCCGGGACTCCCTTTTTATCATCGGCGAACCCATGTGCTCGCGGCAGCGACAAAAAGGCCCCAAATACGCCCTAAAACACACAAACCGCCCTCGATCTGCCCCGTCGGAGGCGGTTGCTGCCATGCTGCCCTCATGGCGGACGCGTCGCTTTCGGCTTTTTTCCCTTTTTCTTTTATTTTTTTGCCCTTTTTTTGCACCGAGCGCGAGGCGGGATGAGGGGGCGTGCGGGCGGGAAAGAGCACACGGCTCTTGGGGGGGGGCACAGCGCCCTATCCACGTCCCCAGGCCTTTTGTTTAACGTGGGTCGAGGCACAGGAAGGTCCCAGCTTTATTTCTGCCCCATTCTTTATTATTATTATTATTATTATTCGCCCCCCATTCCCCCCGCCCCGTGCTCGTGCCCTTCGGGGCCAAATGGGGCAGAACTCTTCAGAGTGGATTTTCGGAGCGCCGGAGTGCAGGAATTCCTGCCAGCTCGCCTTTGTGCCAGCCTGCCCCGGCCTTCAGCGTCTCGTTCGGATGGAGCCTGGCATCCAGGCACCGCCCATTTCTTGGCGTTGAGCTGAGAGGAGAAGGAAAGGGGAGAGAGAGCAAGCGAGAGAAGGGAAAAAAAAAAGAAAGAAAGAAAAAAAAAAAAGCTGTCTCACTCCAACTGGCCTTTCTCGGAAAAGGATCCTTCCCTGGTGACTGTCCGGATAAGCGGAGCTGAAAGCAGCCACTGCTCCACAACACAACCACTCTGCCGGCGGTGCGTCCCTCTCGCTGCCTCGGTACGGAATCGAACCTCGCTCTTCGTTTTTTTGGTTGGTTGGTTGGTTGGTTGGTTGGGGTGCTTTTTGCCTTTGATTTGAAATACCGTTTCGTTCCGCCCGGCGCTTTGTTGTTGCTGCAATCCGCCTTCTCCCCAAAAGCCCCTTCCCCGCAGCCCGCGGTGCTGAGACTCGAATCGCTCCATGTGGAGGGATGCGCCCTCGCGTCCCACCTCGCAGCACCGCTCCAGGTGCTTTTTTCCTCTCGCCCCGCTCACCGCCGTCCCCCCACGCGGGTGCTTTGTGCTTCCACCACGGAGGGGGAGAAAAAAAGATGTCGACTCATGTCGGATTTGCAATTCAACATGGCAGCCGCGGCGAGCATGGTGGGAGCCCACAGCCCCCCGAGCCTCGCGCTGGTCGTGGGCATGGGATGGGTGCCAGGAGGCGACCCAGGTGGGTGGAGGAGAGAATAAGAGGATCGTTTCTTTTCTTTTTTGGAGGGATAAGCGGACGAGGGAACCGCTGCGGTCTGGTTCTGGTGGTGTTAACTGTTTAGAAGCTGGCACAACACGCCGGGATGGGCGCAGGGCCGTGGCCAAACCCCGTAGCTGGGCACAGGGCTGCGCTGGGCAAAGATGGGCAAGGGAGCAGCAGGGAGGGCTGCCGTGGAGCTGCGGTGGCCTCCAGGCTCTGGAGATGGCTGCAGCTGGGAAGGGGCTGCCTGGCCAAGGCATGGGGCGTTGCAGAGGGCGATTCGTGGAGCTTCACACCTCTCCCCACTGTGCCGAAGCTCTCCAGGTCTTGCTGAGCTCGGGGGTTTTGTCCGCGCTGTGTGGGACTCTGCCCTCTTTCTGTCAGATGTAATCGAGGCCCGTTTGGGATGCAACAAAAGCAGCCTGTCTGCAGGGCAGGGTCTCCCTGCCTCCTTCCTGCCACGCACTATGCAGGTGCTCAGGAGCCATGCGAACTGCCCCTCCTCCTTCACCAAATTTTTCCTCCTCCTTCCCCACTGCTGGCTTCCCCCTCCTCCTCCCTTCTCCAAAAACAATATTCTCTCTCTCAGCAAGTGACGCACAGCCCTACAGCAGAGCCTTTGAACTGGCTGCAGAGCACCCAAACGCCCCAGCTCAGCTTCACCTCCATCTCCCACCCATTCTCCAGGGGACATCCCTGAGTTTGTCTCGCACCCCACTCACCTCCTAGAGATGCTTTCTCAGGTGCTGGGTGCCTTGTGGGCCCGGTGGCAACCTGCGTTGCTTTGTGCACTGCATTTTTGGATGCTGGGGTGCTTTGGTTCTGCTCTGAACCTTCCCACTCGCTTGCTCTTCAGCTCTAAGGCAAAGCAGTGGTTGTAGTGGGCCGAGCAGAAGCAGGAAGATGCTGAAACGGATTGTGAATGGGGGGAGTGCAGCTCAGGGCCGTGGACTTTGCTGGCAGTTCCCGTTTTTGAGGCTGCTTGCTGTGGTCCCTGGCTCTCGTGCTGCACAGTGGTTGGCTGGGGAGCTGAATGCCCACGTTGCTGTTAGCAGGAAATGGGGCCGGTCAGATCTGGCCCCAAAATGTGGCAGGATACCCTCTGCAGCAGAGCCCATTTACATCTGGTTTACATCCAGACCTTTAATACTAATGAGAAGGGAACATGAGCATTTTACTCATTGCTGTAGCTTTTCCCTTGCAGATTTTTGACATAAACAGGGGCTGGGGCGGATGCAGGTTTGCCCCCAATTTCTTTTGCTTCCCTGGGAGAAGTTGGCAGAGGGCTGCTACCAAAAAAACCCACTGAAGCTGCTGGCATCGCTCCGCTGGGCTCTGCAGTGGGCAGCCCCTTGAGCAGAGGAAGTCTGAACTGGAGGAAGCACTTCGGACATGCCCTAAGCAAAACATGTGGCCCCTCTGTAGCAGCCATCCAGCCAAGGGACGCGGCTGTTTTATCGCACGCAGCTCGCAGCAAAACAGGGTTGGGGCTTCCAGATCGTGGCTCAGCAAAAAGGACAAATTCAGACCATTCCGATGCTGACTGCATTTCAACCTGGAGTTTGCTCCCTGGCTGTTGCAGTGCAAGCTCTGCACTGGGGAGAGAGCAGGGGGAGAGCAGGAGCTTCCCTGCAGGGCTGGATGCACTCACAGCTGCCATAACCCCCCCAGTGGCCGGCAGAGCTGTTCTAGATTTGCACTGGCATTCCTGAGAGCAGGACTGGGCCTCTAGGTTTGTCGAGGGTGGCTCTGGGAAATTTCCTTTCCTTAAAAGGGCCAGGTTTGGCCAAGGCAGAGCCTGGATTGTGTTTTCCTTTTTTTTTCCTTTTTTTTTTTTTCTCCTCTCTCTCTCTTTTTTTTTTTCCTTTCTCTTTTTAACTTGAAGCTCTGGTGAAAGTCGCCTGATTTGCAGTTGCAGTGCTGCTGTGCTGTGTTTGTGTGCAGGCTGAGCCCATGAGGACCATCATTCACCATGCTGCACGGTCCATACAATCAGCTTTATACTCCAGCAATCGCTTCTGCTGGAGAAATGGGATGTTGAAGGCAGGCAGAGCAAATCAGGCCTTTGTGGGCTTCCTTCTCATAGTTGCCAGCTTGTTGCAGTGGATCTGGGGGCACAAGTTGAATGAGATCCCAGTAGAAACCCATCCAAGGGATGCTCACAACTCCATGCAGCATGGGGAACATGGGGTACCCAGTGCCAGCTCACCACTGAACCACTCCACAGCTCATCTTTAGAAGAACCAGTATTATTGACCTTTCCTGCTGCAGTTTTTATTCCCTATAAATCACCTCTTTCATGCTCTGATTTCCGTCCACTTCTTCCATCATCCTGGCTTGCTGTTGTGAGGTTGCTCTTGGCTCCTCTTTATCTTTGATGTTACCTGGCTGCTGTGAAAAGTGAGCTGGGGGAGGACAAAGTGAGGTTTGTTTTTGCAGGGCTCCCTGTGGGCACTGAGCAGTGCCTGCTTCCCCCACTGAAGCCCGTCAGGTTTGCACTTTGTGTGCTGGATTTGGCATGCTATGTTTACTCAGGAGTTAGTCCTGTCTGCAGAAAACATAGAAGGTGCAGCCCGACAAGGGGCTGCACAGGGTGAGGAAGCCTAAGAGGTAGGTATGGCATTATTCTGATGATGACAACGCAGTATAACCCTGCGTTCACCACCTCGTGCTTTGGAGAGGTCTGTACCCAGGTGCTGCTGTGCCATATGGCTGCTGCCAGCACATCAGTGTCACTGTTTTACTGGGACAGAGGAGCTGCCCAGGAGGTTGGACAGGGCAGGAGGCTTCTCCTCACCTGCAAGACCATGCAAAGTGCTGTGCTTCCTCCTCTTCCTCCTGCCTGGAGGGGTCTGCAGAGCGGCCACGGCTCTGTTCAGCGTGGTTGACTGCCCAGTCAGCATCCTGGGGTTTGATTTGAACTCACAGGATGGCTGTGCTGATGTTTCAGCGCCAGGCATGGGGACCTGAAGCAGCTTTGGCTGAGCAGGAAGGTTCTGGGAATTACACCAAGAATGCAGGGAGTGGTTCTCCTCTCCTTTGGCCTTGGCTTGCTCAGATCCGTGCACCAGCTCGCAGGGGCAGCACGTGGCATCCCATGGCATCCAGGGATGGTGTGGGAGCTGGCACACACCGAGTCTGACAACACAAGCCTAGGGCTAGGAACAGAGGCACCCTCAGCACGTAAGGAGAAAGGGTCCCCCAGAGCCCCACGTGGAGCACCAGCTTGAGCTGTAGCCTTTTTCAAGCTTACTCCTCACGTGGAGACTCCATCAGAAGTGAGTGCAGTGCTGCTACCAGCATGACCACAGTAAGCTGCTCCCAGGGCTCATGTCTGTGGATGAGGATGGGGCTCAGACCCCCCCATAAGGGGTCACCTCAGGCCATCCCTGCAGCCATGCTGCTTTGGGAGCAGCTTACTGTGGCTGAAGAGAGCTGGGGTGGATGCAGGCAGATGCAGATAAGGGAGGGTGGGAGGTTTCTGCTCCTTTCTTCAAGCTGGCACTGCTGACCTAAGCGGGCTATGAAACCTGACTGCTCAAGATGTTTCACTCTCCCAGAAGCAAGAATGCAGTTAAGTTCTCCAACATCACCTCCCAGTTCAGCCCAGTGAATCATCGTGCAGCCTGCTGGAGGGTTGCTTCTGATGTTTTAAGCCTGCAAAATCCTTCTTAATTCCCTGGCTTCGTTGGATGTGTACCAAAGGCGTACTGGACATTATCTCAGAAGTGTTTGCACCTCAGTGCAGGACATGGTAGCACACAATGCTTTGATCCCCAGTGCAGTCTTTGGTGCACAACATGCTCTCATTTGCCCCAAATTCTTCCCCACTCTTCAGAGAGGCCATGGAAGGCAAGAGGAGCCTTGCAGTGGGTTCCCCAAGCAGGAAAACATGAGGCAGGCTGTGCCAGAGCTGAAAGACAGGATAGGCCCCTGCTGCATGCAGCCATGCTGGAGTGCTGTGGGAGTTCCCTCTGGATGTGAGCTCTGCGGTCTGGGCGCAGGGAATTAGCCCAGACGTGGTTCCCAGGGTGGGGGAAGGGCCTAATGAACAGAGACAGGATAAAGAAGCAGGTAAGGGCTTCCTGTCCTTCAGGGCTCAGGAGGAAATCCTGCAGCTGGTGAATCTGGATACGATTAGTGTCCATTTCTCCCTGTGTAATCAACCCATCTGTTCATCCCTGCGCATTAGCGGTGCACACCCCACTGCAGGCAGATGCCTCTCGGGCTCTGCTTTTATCTGCGTCTGCCATGGCTGCTCCATGCAGCCCGACAACACGACAACATGGATGCCACAACCATGCCTACATTTTGCCCTATAGACTCAGCCAAAGCCCTGGGAGAGCTGTGGCCACCAAAGCCACCACGATCACGGTGACTGGCAGTGCCAAGCCCAGGAAGGCGCTCCCCAAAGGGACAGTGGGTGGGGATATTCTCCAAAGGGCTTTGCACTTTCTGCAGAGATCTTTGCACTGTGCTGATAAGCTCAGCCTTCCGGACCCTGCCTGTTTCCTTGAGCTCAGCTCTGCTCTAAGTAGGTAAAG